GATATACCAGGGCATCACTGGTAAATATGGAAGCATCCCTCAGAGAAAGGTATACGTAGCGACTTCCCACCACCGTGTGGCCTTGAAGGTGTCAGCCTAGACCCCCTGGGACGCCATTTGTATTATTATGGCTGCTTTCATGTTCCACGTAGGGAACTTATGAGGACCAACCAAACCTTCCTGGCCTCGCCTCCCACTACACCTCGGAATTTTCCTCTCCCAGCTCCTCGCCGCCTCTGCGCACAGCCCTCCAGCACAGGGCCCTCTGCCCGACGACACTTGTACTCAGGGCTGTCTCATTCATTTTTGTATCTGGAGAGCCCAGCAGAAGGCCTGGTCCTCTGTCAGGGGGAACCAGGCCCATCCTAGGAGACTGGGGGCCTTATGATAGGAGGGAGAGTGTATGGCACGCTTAGGGTACAGCTATATGCACACATTCATTTATTCATTCATTCATTCACCTCCTCCCACCTGGGCGTCGACACTGGGATGCTACTGTGAAATGAAGCAGGCAGGCTCCCCCCCACATAGACCATAATCTTGGGGAGAGGTGATGCAGTCCATCCAGCTGCTGCAGGGACAGGTGGAGGGGCACCTAACCGTGACTTTGGATGTCAGGGAAAGATTGGACGTTGAAGGCAGAAGAATCAGAGGCAGGGGGTAGGTAGGTTCCTGCTGACACAGCTCAGTATAATCTGTGGCCTCTGGGAAACGAGTCAGTCAATCGGTCAGAGCCTTAGTTTCTGCATCAATAAAATGGGCATAATAACACTTGCCTCACTGGGTGGTTGTGAGGGCTTAATGAGATAATATCTATTAAGCATCTAATAAACACCTTATCACCTTGATGTTCAATTAATGTCTGATGGATGAATGGGTGGCTCTTGGGGGTAAAGAAAGTCTTACCAACTCATCAGTTCAATTTGCTCCATATTAAAGCAGGGATACAATCGTGATTTATTTTGGTGAAATTCCAATTTAACATACCATTCATTTATCCTCCATAAACTGAGTAAAACCAAGAATATGTCACATTCTTTGTTCAGCCACTGATAATAACTGATCAAAATGTCAATTTATTGTAGGTGCCAGGCACTTAGCCTTAAATAATGTTGCTTAGCAAATTTTATATTAGATTAAAAGAAAAAGAGTTTCCAGAACTTCAGCTAATGGATGCAGAGGGACGTGCCAAAGGAATTCATACCCCAGGCGCCCTGGAGAAGGGCCAGCTTTGAGCACAGTGGCTGCCATCTGCTGTCACCCTCAGACCATAGATTTTCTAATAAGAGGATGGCTTTTATGTTAAGGTTCCAACTGGCGCTGTGCAGAAGGCAGCAAATGGGCTTGCTCCAGCCCTGAGTAGTGGTCAGCTCCAGGCCTAAATCACAAGGAAGCTATAAAACTGGGAAGTCAAACACATCCTGAGTTAGCAAAATGGGAAACACAATGAGGTGTATTTAAAGACACGATGTGATAATTGGGTGTTTACAAATGACATAGCTTATTGACTTGACCGGAAAGTCATCATTTTGGAGCCAAATAGCCACAGTCCAGGCTGTAATCGCTCCTTCGCCTGTCTTACCACTGGAATGAGGCTCTGTGAAGGCAGCAATGGGCCTTGGCTAGTCACTGAGGGCTTAACTGGCAGTGGAAAAGGTTTCTTGAATGCATCACATTTGATTAGGGCATGCAAGGTGACTCAGCTCCTATTGCATTCTGTGATGTTTGCACATGTGCCTCTCCATCTGAGGTCAAGTCCTGACTGCAAACGTGACATTCTCACACTATTATTTGAAAACACTATGCCTTGGAGTATCAAGGGTAGGTGCTGAGGATACGTGCACATGAAGGTGTATTTCTGAATTTGGGCCACGGAAAGGTTGCACTGCTCGCAGGAGTCCTTTTGAGCTCTTGTTAGATGAGCTTCTTGAGATCACTAAGTCCTCTGACTCACTTTCCTACTAGCAAAATGGCGATGAGCTTCACTTTCCCGTTTCACTGAAGAGTTGTGCTGATTCCTGTACCCTTACTTCCCTGAATGAAAAATACCACTTGCTTACTTAGGAAATTAAAGATTGAAAATTGCACATTGATATCCCAAGGCAGCTTTGCTAAAACGCAAAACTTTTGTCCATCATTAATAAACACACTCAACGTTTCATCAGTAAGTGAAATGTGAACTCATGTCTTGAAATCTCTGCTCACTTTTTAAAACTAGTTCCTACGCTTCTTCAAATACTTTTAACAAAGTTTTGAGTATTCATCATGGTCTTCTTTGCATGGGGACTCCTGTTCACCTGATGACAAATATGTTTCCAGCGGGGACCACAGCTCACTTTATTATTATGCTGTTTGGTTTTCAATCACTTGAGAATTTCCACTACTGTTTAGCAACAGAAAGGATTCCTAATAACCTGGTATTTTGGCAATTTTAATTGTCTTTCCTCTCTGACATTTGAAACAACTTGTTTCCATATTTGAAACTTTTCGACACCGCCGAAATGTTAATTCAGATTAAGAGCTGTTTATTCCAATGCTAGACCATCACGTGCCCATAACATCACACGGAGGAACTTCTTTTGTAAAGGCTTACAATTATTTTTAAAATGATTTGAAATTTTCTATAGCTTTGCTCTCTCAAAAACAACAAGGGGACAGAGAAGTGGAGAAGATGAGGCCTGTCCTGTGGTGAGAAGATTCTCCTGGCCTCCTGTCACCAGGAGGCTCAGGAGTTGGTCCTTCAGTTGTCCACCTACAGCCTGCCTTCGAAACTATGGGCAAGTTCATTGAGCCCAGAAGAAAGCATTTAATTACAAACCCATTACAAACTGCTTTGTTCTGTTTATTATTTTGATTTCAGCACACAGATTCTTTCCTCTGGGGAAACGCTTCTTTGAGATAATGAGAAGTGGCTTTGTGAAGGCAACTGCTCAAAGGCCCACAGACTGCATTTGCCCCCCCACCCACTGCCCCCCACGTGAAAACACATCCACACACATGCACTGTCATGGAGGAGGGATGGATTCTGAGTTCCGAATACCCTGCGCTGCTAGAATTATTTTAAACTGCAGTTCTCATAAAGATTCTATTTGATTATAGCATTACCTATTAATGATATAAATAGCTTGAATGCATGAACAATTTTTGAACCACAAAAAAAAATGTTTAGTTAAACAAACCAAAAGTTAAAAAATCTTGAAAAGTTTTTTTCTCAATTTTAACAGAAACACTACTGTTGGAAAACTTTTAAAAAGCCCCATTCTCACCATGTTCTAGCAGTCATGCAGCTATGATACAAAACATTTCTATACATATTTTCCAGCCAATTTTCTTAAAAGCCCATTGATTGTCAAACTGTATGTTGTATTTTCCCAATGCTGTCAAACTAAGTTAAAAACAAAAATTTTTCTTTCCATGTTTCCTGCAAACACAAAGTCTAGACTAGAGATGTTGGAAATACTGGCGGAATTCTTCTAATGTATGAAACAGCATATATATTCAAGTCACTTTTATTGGTGTTTTTTTTTAGCAATTTATTTTATTAAAATAGGCTCGAGATAAAATTCTTTTATTTATAAGGTAAGGACTTTCTTTTCCTTTCTGGCCTTCTTTAATTGTATTCCATTTGGGGAGCGTTTCCCCCAAAGAGATTCGAGGTTGGCTGTAAGTTTGGCTGGGCAATATGATATCTCAAGCAGAACCTTGGGTAGCAGAGATAAGATGAGTCAGCAACTTTCTGGCTGCCACCAGGGACTCAGTGAAACACGACCCAGGGTCCAAACTTACTCCAATTGTTGGATTGTTCTCTTCAGGCCTCATCCTCCACACACACAGGCACACACATACGCACATGCGCACAAGCACACCACTGTTCATCAGGGCTTCTGATGGGGGCAGCTCTATAAGCGACGGACACCAGTGCCGTGGTGGTTCCAGCACCAGGGCAGCATTGAGCCCAGCAGTCAGATTTGGAGCTAACCACGCAACTTGCATTGGATGGAGGCCAGGGCTCGGCTCCCTACATTCACTGTCCTCTTCCAAATTCGCTGTGTCCTTTCCCAGCTCTCGTTCAGAAGGGGCCTCCAGCGCCCGCCCCAAGGGCAGGGAAGGTGGGTGTGCCCGTCAAGCACTGGTAGCTCCAGGGGGTACAGAAATGGCCCCCAGAAACTCTGGGGGCAAGGAGGCCAAAATGTCACCTCCCAGTGGCTGTAGGCTCCAAAGATAACCTTGCAGGTAAATACAAATTGGGGGTGGGAGACGCTTGAATTCACACAGGAGGCCTCTGCTCAGCTCTGCATGCAGGAGGCAGCTCGGGCGCTAATTGGGGGGGAGGGGCTGGAGAGAGAGGAAAACAGGGTGGCCTGGGGCCTGCTTCACCTGAGAGTGTGTGAGTGCAGGTGCGGCGGGGGCCAACCTGAGACCATCTGGGACTCTTGGGTGCTCCTGTGGTAGCCAGAGACGCCTGGTCTTAGGGCAGAGTCAACGGGACCCCGTGCTGAGTAACAAGGCAGAGGGCTGGTATCCCCAGCGGCCGGTCCCTGCTCTGCTCGGGCAGCCCTCCTCCTCCCTTCCGTCCCAGGCAGCTCCGGCCATTAGAAAGGACCTCTTACACCTGCCCCAGATTCCTCGCTGCACACACCTGGTGAGGGTGGAGGGACGCCCGGAGCCCGACTGGGGCGGCTCCGGAATCCTGTGATCCTCCCTGGAATGTCGAGGGGGCCAGGCTGGGCCAGGGGAAGAAATCGGCCACTGGTGGGCCCCGGGTGGAACAGGGAGTGCGCCGTTGCCCCATCTGAATGGGCGCCTGGGTGCGGGGCACACACAAAGGAGCCACCCGGGAGGCTGAGGCACCTCTCGGCTCAGTTCCCTGCGGGCCCCGCCCCCGGCTCTGCGCTCCCCCCGCAGCCGGACCTCTGCGGTGCCAACTGTCACCAGGTGGGAATCCGGGCTTCGGCTAAGCGCCTCTGGATTGGGCGCTCGGGACAGTCCCTGGGCTCCCTTCAGACTTCGGTCCCTTCCCGACCGTAGACGAAGTGACCGACACAGAAGCCGGTGGCCTCCGCCTGATGGCCACTGGAGAAGCTAGGAGCAGGGCCAGGGGACTGGGCACCGTGAGCGGCGACCGTTGTCGGTCTCCCGAAAGAAAAGTCACCCGCCAGGCCTCCAGGGAAGGTACCAAGGCCACCAGCCAGGGCGCCCATGGCCGAGGCGAAACTGGAGAAGCAGGCGGCAGCCTGGGGTGCAGGCGGGGATGGCGAGGCCTGCAGGTCCCGGGACGCGGCTCGCAGGGCGTCCCGCTCCAGCGCCCTGGCTCCTCCGGGGCTGCGGGCTCCGCAGGGAGCGGCTGCGCTCGCCTCCCCCCTCCTCTTCCTCTTCCGTCGGAAGTTCCCGTTGTCGAACATCTTCTCGCAGTTTGGGTCCAGGGTCCAGTAATTGCCTTTGCCTGCGGAGGAAGACAGGGCTCGGTTCAGGAAACTCGGGGCTGAAGGGCCAGGGTGAGAACGTGAGAAGTGGAGGTTAACTTTGGGAAGATCCCCCCACTGGCTCCACCCAGGGGCCCCTCACCTCACCCCAAACCGCGAGGCGGCACTCTACCAGAGCGAATAGGCCTCCACAGCCAGGCTGGGAAGAATTTGCGCTTTCCAGAAAGATCGGACAAGGGCGAGCCCCAGAAAATACTGAGCTCCCCCCTAAGCTCAAGGCCAGGGAGAAGGCCCACAGGTGCAGAGCCTCTGGACTCTGGTCCCAGCGCTTCCCAAAGCGGCACGTCATTTGAACCACCGGTCCCCGAGTAGGCACTGCTTCCCCATTTTACAGACGGGGCGCCGAAGCTGGCAGACTTAGAGACTCAGACGACTGGACCCCAAGTCAGGGCCTGTGGGTTCTGGGCGCTCTGTGCGCCTGTCTGCCACCGAGCACGTCCCTCCCCCCGACCTCACCCCCCTGCCTCAGTACCCCTAGCTGTACCGCGAGGGCTGCGCGGCCCGAGGCCGTCCCCACCCCTGGAGAACCAGCTGCCCGGGGGCGGGAACCCGCGGACTCCTGGACGGGGCGGTCCGCGCGCCTCGGTTACCTGGGTCGTCCTCGTCGCGGGGCACCTTCTTGAAGCAGTCGTTGAGCGACAGGTTGTGGCGGATGGAGTTCTGCCAGCCCGCCTTGCTGCGCTTGTAGAAGGGGAAGTTGCCCGCCACGTACTGGTAGATCTGGCTGAGCGTCAGTTTCCGCAGCGGCGCGCTCTGAATGGCCATGGCGATGAGCGCCGAATACGAGTAGGGCGGCCGCACCAGCCTCAGCAGCTCCTGCTGGCCGGAGAGGCTCAGCCAGGCGAGGTCGGCGCCAGCCAGGCCGCCCGGGACGCCGAGGAGCTGGCCGGGGGCCGCGTACCCGGAGGGCGCGTAGGGCGCCGCGGGCCCAGGTCCGGGCGCGTAGGGCGCCGGGCTGAGAGCCGGTGCGTTCAGCCACAGGCGCGGGCCGCCGCCCGCCGCGCCCGGGTCACCGCGCCCGAAGCTCGCTGGGTTCGCGGCCGCCCGGGCCTGGCTGTGTGGGGCCGGGCAGACACCCGGGCCGTCGCAGTATGTGGCCATGTCCAGCCGCTCCCGGGCCTGGCCGGGCGGCTCCGCGCCTAAGCTCATGGGCTCTCCATCCAGCGCGGCCGCTAGCAGCTCGGGGTGCCGCCCGCCGGGCCCCGCCAGCCGCCCTTTAAATGCCGTCGGGGTCCGAGCCCCAGGTGAGCGTCGGTGGCGAGCCTCCTCCCCCGCCAGCTTTGGAGGAGCGTCGCCTCCGTCTCCGTCCCCGCCCCGGGGTCAGCTTTCCGCCCCGCCCTGGTCCCGTCGCGCCCCTGACGAGCTGCCCCAGTAACTCCCCCAACCCTGTGCCTCTTGCGCCGCAGACCGAGTCGCTCTCGACCTTTGCCACGGGCGCCCAGGGGCACAGGGTTCCCGCGGATCCCCGCCTCGTCAGCCTCGCAGCCCCAGCCGCCCTGGGTCCTCGGGCAGGTGCCACGTCCCCTGCAGGCTCTGCAGATGGCGGGGCTGTAGCCCGGTCCAGCGTGCGGCCTCCTTGCTCGCCCACGCGGGACCCTGTGGAAT